CGCCCGAGGGCCTCGTGTTTCTCCAGACTTTGTTTGTGCATTCCCCAGCCTTGCCCTGGGCTGTGGGGGGGGAAAAGATGAGCTGCCCCGCTGGCCCCAGAGTTGTTCCCTCGAAGGGGGGGGCGATTTTTGGGGGCGTTCAGCTCCAAATCCCCACTTGCCCTCAAGCTTTGTCCCCGTTCTTGGGGCAGCAGATGCTCTGCTGACCTTGGAAAAACGGGAAACCCCCGGGGGAAAAGCTGGAATTTGCCAAGCTGAGAGCCAAGGGGCTGGGTGGGACAGGGATTTCGTGGCATGGGGTGGGTTAGGGAGGGCTCTGCCAGCCCCCTCTCCTCGAATAATTTTCCTAAAAGCATTTATTCATGTCAGGTGAAGAAGGGAGAGCAAAGCCTCTTTGTTGGCATCTCCCCTTTTCTAAAATAGCTTCTAATTACATGCTGCTGGCTCTGCAGCCCGAGGACATATTTCATATTTATATTTATATGGATATTTATATTTATATTTATACCCTCCAGTCATGGCTTGGGGGGCCCCTCAGTGTCACCCCCTTTGGTGCAGGGGTTTTGCCCCATCAGCTCAATCTTGCAGAGGGGTTTTGGTGCTCCAGGAGGGGCTCTTTGTGGCAGGAGGCTCCTCATCCTGAACTCAGCATTGACTTTTGGTGGAAGATTTCGGGATTCGTGGAATCCCAGAACGCTTTGGGGTCGGGAGGGAGCCCAAAGCTCATCTCATCCCACCTCTCTGCCACGAGCAGGGACACCTCCCACCATCCCAGCTTGCTCCAAGCCTGTCCAACCTGGCCTTGGACACTTCCAGGGATGGGGGCATCCTATGGGAAATCTCTTCCAGGGCCTCCCCACCCTCACAGGTGGGAATTTCTTTCCCAATATCCCATCCCTCTGGCAGTGGGAAGCTATTTCCCCTTGTCCTGTCCCTCCAGGCCCTCGTCCAAAGTCCCTCCCAGCTCTCCTGGAGCTGCACATTTAAAACCCAAGGCACCTTGAGAAACCTTCCCAAAATCCAGAGAGGAGCTTTGGAGCTTCCTCCAAGGCAAAGTGACACCTCCAGATGTGATGGAGAAACTGCCCTTCTGATGGAGCAGCTCAGCTCTGCCTGGGAAGTGCCATTTTAACGCCTCTCACCCTGCAGGAAGGCCCTTCTGGGAGCTCTGGCTTTGACCCTTTGTCCTTGGGAGGTTTTTTTTGGGGCTTTGACCCTTCGACCCTTTGTCCTTGGAAGGTTTACAGCCCCGACTGCAGCGGTGGCTTCACATGGCACGGTGTGGTTTTGGTGGAAGAGAGGCTTGTTGTTTTAAGGGTTGTTTCTCTTGTAGCCTGCAGTGAGACTTCTTTTTTCTCCTGCACACACAAACATGTGCTCCAGCCAGTTCTTCCAGCAAAGCCAGGCCTAAAAGTGGGTAAATGTTTAATGACACGGCCCCCACTCTGCTTTCTTTTGTTGCTGGGGGGGGTTGATTTTAATCTGCAATCCTTCCACCCTTCAAAATACCTGTCCAGATCCAGAAAGCTGCTTTACCCACCAGGTTGGAGAGGGCTTGGAGCAGCCTGGTCCAGTGGAAGGTGTTCCTGCTGGAACAAGATGGGCTTTAAGGTCCCTTCCCACCCAAACCGTTCTAGGATTAAGCTGTGGTTGAACCCCTTGGCTGTGTCCTTGTATGAAGTTCTCCTTCTCCACGCTGTCCAGCAGTGCCTGAACCTCTTACTCAAAGCTGTAGATGCCCCCAAACCAGGTGCAGCCTCTCCAGCTTCACAGAATCCCAGAACATTCCCAGTTGGACGGGAACCGTCAAGCCCAGCTTTTACGGGAATGACCCGTACAGGGCTTGACCCCACACCTTTGGTGTTGTTAGAACCGGGTTCTAACCAGCTGAGCTCATCTCAGGGCCTCCTCTTGGCCTCCTCCAGCTGAGCAGAGCCAGGTCAGAGACACCTCCAGCCCCCCCCCCAAGTTTTGCCGAGCGGGAGCCGCGTCCGTCCCCCCGTCTCCTCCCCGGGTTTGGAGCAGCCTCTTGGAGAGCCAAACCGGTGCTAACTCGGCGTTTTTCTTGCCCCCCCCCCTCCCCAGGAGGAGCATGAAGAGGAAGGCCATGTTCACCTGCCCCTTCAACGGGGACTGCAGGATCACCAAGGACAACCGGCGGCACTGCCAGGCGTGCCGGCTCAAGCGCTGCGTGGACATCGGCATGATGAAGGAGTGTGAGTAACGACCCCCCAGCTCCAGCTGGCCATGCCCACTGTCCCCTCTCTGTCCCCAGAGGTGGGAAGGGCAGCCCAAAACCCGAACAAACCTCCCAGGATTTCAGGGGGACGCAGAGGGCGGGGGGTGTGGCGGGTTAATGGTCGAGAGGGGCTCGTGGAATGACCTGGAGCGATCCGGGAGTTGCTTTTCCCCCGGGGCCAGGCGGCTTCTCCCGGCTCTCCAGGGGCATCCAGCTTTTTGTGGGAGCATCCAGGGAGGTTTGTGGTTGATGCCTGGGCACGCTGGTTGATCCTGTCAGAGACAGGAGGGCCGAGGGCCTCTCTCCTCCCTCCAAAGGGTAAGTCTGCTGCTTCAACTTCAGGCCCGAGTTCGGATTTGATTGTGGGGTTTACACAGAAAAAAAAACACCTCCTGACACCTAAAGTTTATAGCCACGCCTAAAACATATCGATGCTTTTATCAGTTGCTACAGAAAGACATTTTTCTGAGTGTTCTGGGTTTGGGCAGAACATCTCCTGCATCCCCTCTGCTTGGAGCAGAAAGTGGGTATTTTTGAGAATACAGATATTTGTGGTTATTTTCCCACCAGTTCTCTTTCAGAGGGGCAGTCCTGCAAATTGCAGTGGACGTGTGTTTTCCCTTACCCTTTGTGTCCTGTGTCTGGGCAGAGAAATTCATGTCCATTGGTTCTAAATCACGTAGATCTCTTTCACTAATTAGCGTTCTATCTGTTGGTTATTGATTTCTCACTGTTTATACTAATTAGTCCATGCTTTTAGTCATTTTAGTACCTTTTTTCCACCGGTAGGGACTTTCCAACACAAAGACCGAGCCTTTCCTGGTCTCTTCTTTGTCTTCTGCTCTCTGCAAGATGTCCTTGTGGTCCGTAAATTCTGCATTCCAGATGTCCAGCTTCGACAATCCGTCTTTCCCTCCCTGGCTTTGTACGTTGAAGCAAATCAGAGTTAGTTTATCAAAACCTCGATTTAAATTAAGACTTTAATTACCTTCAATTAAAACTCGATTCTCCCAAGCTGTGTTCCCACAACAGCACTTTATTGCAAACTTTGCCAAACGCTGGCTGGGAGCAATTTCAGGACGGTGCACTATTTGTAATTAATATATATCGGCTATGATTAATTAAAACAATGAATTAGAAGTTAATTAAAGCCATTAACTACAATTATTTAAAAGTTCCATCCTTTCCAACAGAGCTGGGTTGTGTTTCCCTCCTCTGTGGCTCCTTTTTTTCTTTTTTTTGGGGACCTGCCATGTGGGTCCCTCCAGCCACGTGCACGGCACAGACTTGAGTAAACAGCAGAGGGGAGTAAAGTAGTTTTTAACCCAATCCAAACACTCTAATGCTGCCCCAAATATTTATTTTCCTCGGCTCTATTTATGGGTAAGCAGCTTTTAAAAATGAAAAAAAAAAAAAAAACCATGTGTCTGACGTGCTCCCTCCTACGTCGCCCCGGGTCCCCGGGAGGAGGTTGGAGCGTTCAAACCCGATAAAACAGCTCCTTGCTGGGAGATTGTGGGCAGGGGGTGTCCATGGGCCTGGAATTCTGGAAAATGGAAGGGGTTCTCCTTGCCTTTTTGGGGTGAGCAGGCCTCGATGCCGCGGGGTGCCACCCGAAAGCCATGGGAAACCAGGACGTGGAAGGGTTTTGCAGGGAAGCAACACCCCCCAATTTTTCCACGGTCCTAAAGATCCCTGATGAAGAGGGAAAAAAAAAAAAAAAATCCCTGGATCTTATTCCTTTAAACCAGGGGGAGAAAAGGGCCACACACAGGGCACCTCCTGTGTTTTGGGGAGCACGAGGAGCCCGGCTCGTTGTTCGGGGCTCGTTTGGAGCTGACAAGGGAGATGTGTTGATGTCTGGAGAGTTCCTGGGCAGAGGTTGCTCCAGGTGCCGGGGACGGGCACGTCCTCCACGTTAGTTAACGTGTAGGTGACCCCCATTAGCGAACTGTGAGTGTGGATTAACCAAAACCAACCCCATGGCACTAAAAATAGCCTCGCCTGGACTTTGCTGCCGGAGGGCCCGCTGTTATTTTTGGATTGAACGAGGCGTCTGGAAGCTTTGGAGGAGGTGGGGGGGGGTTGGTGTCTTCCACGAGGCTGTTGTTTGTGTTGTTTGGGAATGTTCCTGTCACTTGGGAAGGGCAGTTTTCCGGCCTAGGGGTGCCTCTGGCTGCCCCTGTTCCCTTCCTGCTGCTTTTTCCCGGGAAGATGCTTGGCATGAGTGGGCTTTGAAGCAGGGGCTGGTGCTGGACTATCCCACCTGCTGTGCCAGTGGTTTAGGTGGCCAGAAGATGAAGGGAGGGGAGGGAATTACTCTTTCCCTGCAAAACTCCCCCTTTTCCAGCAGCCTGGAGCTGAGGAAGGGATGTCCACCCCTCGGGGGTTGGATCCACACCCGTGGGGTGTTGGATGGGCTCCCTGAGGGAATTCACCTCCCAGCTTCTCTGCCCCTTCTCCCCCAGCCTTTAAGAGCTCCTGTGTGCCCAGACTTCACGTGCCCTCCAGAGAAGGTGGTGCCAGTCAATCCTCATCCCTTTCCCAAGGAAAAGGCTTGCTGGGATGGGGCTGGAGTCACATCCAGCTGGTGCTCAGCGCCCTCCCCACCAGGTTTGATTTATGATCTCAGGGGGCTGGAAAACCCCCAGAGAGGGGAGGAGAACAAAAAAAAACCAGAACCAAACCATCATCTCAGAGCAAGGGGAGAGGAGCAGAAATGGGAAGGAATTTCCCTGGAATTTCCCAGGACGCTCAGGAGGGGAACGGGGAGGCTCCAGGGAGCAGGAAGGGTTGTGGTTGTGTAGGGTGAGGGTGAGCAGGGAGGGACACGACCTCTCCTGCTCTCCTCCACTTCCCAAAGAGGTGGTGGCCCTCAAAGCCAAGACATCCCTGCTGCTCCAGCCATGGGATGTGTCATTCCCGAGCCCGGGAGCCTCCGGCACTCCCAGACGTTTCCTAAACTTCCTTTTTTTCCTTTACATTTGGCTGCTCTTTCCTGGTTGATGGAGCCTTTGTGCTGCTCCCCCCCACCGCCTCCCAAACACCCTCCAGCACTTCCAAGCCCCTGGTTTTGGCCAGGGGTGCAGGGTTGGATCCTCATCTGTCTCCTCGTGCTCCACAATCCCGGCGCTGGCTTTCCCTGCTGGCCTTGTGGCATCTCCAGTGTCTGGCTGGACGTGGGGTTGGGAGAGACCAATAAAGCTTCATCCAGCCCTTGCAGGATCCCAAATTTGCCCGGTGTAACCTGCAGGAATCCCCTCCGAGGCCCCGATCCTGGGGACACTCGGAGCACCCACGGCCGCAGCCGAGCGCTCGGCTCTGCCCCATCCTCCTCCTCAGCCCCACATGTGGCTTCCCCCACTGGTTTCTCCCCTTGCACGCGGTGCCCACGCGGATCTGATGCTTTTGTACAAAGAACAGGGAGGAGAGGTGGCAAAACTCTTGATTTTTCTCCCCAAAAAGTCGTGCCGAGCCCGGCGGAGCCGCCGTTAACGCGCCCGCGACCTCTCGGCTCTATCTGCTCCTTCCCGTCCCTCCCGAGACCTTCTGGTGCCCTCTGAGGTTGTGCAAGCTTGAAAAGGGACTGGAAAAACGCCCTTGGCTAAAGGAGCAGGGACAGCAAACAGCTCCTTGCCCCCAGCCCCGAGGATGCAGCTCCCTCTGCCCTTCCCAAACCTCCTGGCCCGAATTCCACCTCGACTCGCCCCGGAGTCAAATCTCCTCAGGCAGGGCTGGCCGAGCCACCTCGGCATCAGATAACACGCTTGGGGTTTTCTGCAATGCCTGGTGAAAGGGCTAATAACAGCCTGAGGAAGGGGAATTGCTATTTTTAGGTGGATTGTGTGTGTTGCCGAGCGCTTTCGGGAGCGGGTGACGCGGCCACGGGGATGGAGGTCGGACCCGAGAGGTCTGTGCGGGCTCCCTTGTGCTTTGCTTCTCTTTCAGCCCTCTCAGGGCTCCAAGGTCTTTTTTGTAAAGTTAAGATTTGAGCCCAGATTGCCTGTGGCTGCTCCCCTTCCCTAAATAAACGGGACAATCGCTCCGAGTCCAACCCTCGGCTGCTTCCGAGGGCCATCCCCCCTAACACATAAATCCCATAAACACCCACCCCTGGCTGTGGGGGACGTTTATGTGTGCCCTGAGCTTAAACACGAGGTTTAGAACTCCCCTGGGGATGCTGCAGAAGTGCTGCTGGATCCCCAGGCTGGCAGCAGAGCTGCGCTGGGCACCGGAGCCCCCGGGGTGAACCCGCTGACCCGAGCCGAGGGTGGGGATCAGGATTTCTGTGCCCTGGAAAAGCACAGAGCAAACAGCAAGGTGTGTGGCAGTGCTCATGTGGCCTTATCTCACCCAGACCTTGCCTAAAAGCACCATAAACCGCCGGGCACAGTGACCTGGCAGCCGAGGTGAGAGCAGGGTGGGGTTGATGAAGGTTCAATAACTGATTATCCAGGTGATGGGGACACTCTCTGCCCTCGCCTGGCCTTGCTCCAGTCCCCCCGTTTCTGACCCCTCCCCTGCCCCACAGTCATCCTGACGGACGAGGAGGTGCAGAGGAAGCGGGAGATGATCCTGAAGCGCAAGGAGGAGGAGGCCCTCAGGGAGAGCCTGAAGCCCAAGCTGTCGGAGGAGCAGCAGAAGGTCATCGACGTCCTCCTCGAGGCCCATCGCAAAACCTACGACCCCACCTACGCCGACTTCTCCAAGTTCCGGGTACGGCCGGGCCGCCCCCGCCCTCCTGGGCAGCCCCCCAGATGCTGCAAACCCCTCTGACCCCACGGCATCTCCTCAGAGAGGAGCTCAAAGTCCCCCCCTCGCTGCTCTGGGGTGAACAAACACCACTCACCCCCCCTTTCCAATCCCCCTTCCTCACGCCCTGCCCTTCTCTTCCAGCCCCCCGTGAGGAGCCACCCCAACAACAGGGGGGCAACAAAGTCCTCCTCTGTCCTCACCCAGGACCTGTCAGAGGAGGATTCCACTGACCTCTTCTGCTCCGACGCCTTCAGCACATTCCCAGGTACCAGACTCACTTCTCCGGGGGTGACAGGGGGATAATTGCAGTAGCTTGACCTAAACCTGACCCTTCAGACCCTTGTTTTACCTCCTGTGAGGGCTCATTTAGCTCTAAAATCTCCTGGGGGTGTTGCACCCTCACCCTCTGAGCGTCTCCCTCTCTGCAGAGTCCGTGGAGCCGCGGATGTTCTCCAACCTGGTCCTCAACGAGGAGAATGACGACAGCTCCTCCATGAACATCGAGTTCTCCCAGCTCTCCATGCTCCCACACCTGGCTGACCTGGTCAGCTACAGCATACAGAAGGTGATCGGCTTTGCCAAAATGATCCCGGGGTTCAGGTGAGACGTCTGCTCCCAGATCTGCCATCCAAGGGGGTTTTCCACCCTCGGGAATCCCGTCCTACCCTCCACGAGCCAGATCGTGTTCTCTGCTGAGCCTTCACGGCTGTCCCTCAGCTCTGTCCCCTTCCCAGGCCTGTTCCTACTTCGATGTTTTCTGTCTCTCCTCTTTTTCGTGGTTCTCTCCTCTCTTTCCAAACTCTGGAAAATTCATCCGAGCTCTTGTCAGCGGAACAGCTCGAGCTGCTGCACCGTGAGGGGTTTGTGAAGGAAGGGCCCTCAGGTCCTGTTTTCCACTCCAAACTGGTGCCCAGGGCGTGGACAAATACACCTGCAGGAACAGCTGACACAGGAACCGTGGGGAGGGAAGAGCTGGGATGGGGTGACCGATGGGACCCCGACGGGGGGTGACGGTTTCTGTTCCTCTGCTCGTGGACGACTCTCACCTCAACCTCCCCCCTCTGTGGTGCAGGGACCTGTCAGCAGAGGACCAGATTGTCCTGCTGAAGTCCAGTGCCATCGAGGTGATCATGCTGCGCTCCAACCAGTCCTTCACCCTCGAGGACATGAGCTGGACCTGCGGCAGCAACGACTTCAAGTACAGGGTCAGCGACGTCACCCAAGGTAAAGCTGCCAGACCCTCTCTCCTGCCAAGGAATCTCGGCCCAGCCTCAAGTTCAGGCGCAGAAATCCCATGGATTTTTCCCTGGGAAGCCATTCCCTCTGCACCCAGCAGGAAAGGTGCTGGACCCTGCCCTGAACCTCTTCCACTCGAGGATTTGAGGGCCAGCCTTAAGATCAGGGGGGTGCAGGTGGTAGAGCGAGACCTTAAATCTCTCCCTGCACTTGGAAGGGCCTCACAGTCGTGGAAGTGAGGAGGAGGAGGAGGAGGAGGCAAAATGTCTGCAGGTGAATTGCCCTTTGTGGATTCCAAAGGCAAAATCTGCTCCGTAAACTCCTGCTTTAGGAAAAAAAGTGCAGTCAAATCCAACGTGCCTTGAGCTGCATCAAAAGTGCCTTTCCCCCTGTGCCTGCTGTGTCTGAGGAGCTGCTGAGCTCTGGGGGAGATCCCCTTTCCAGAGCCAGCCGTGCTAAAGGTCCGTTCTCTCCCCAGCTGGCCACAGCATGGACCTGCTGGAGCCACTCGTGAAATTCCAGGTGGGCTTGAAGAAGCTGAACCTTCACGAGGAAGAGCACGTGCTCCTCATGGCCATCTGCATCCTGTCCCCAGGTAGGGCCCGGCCAGGGGTTTGGCACGTCCCCCAAAAAATAGGGTGGGAGTCACCTTGGATATTGGGGTAAGTTTTGGGGAAGATTTTGAGCTGTTGGAGTGTCCAAAGGGGGGGAATGAAGAGGAGGAAGGGCCTTGAGGGGCTGAGGGCACTTGGTGTGTCCAGCTGGAGAAGAGGAGGCTGAGGGGAGACCTCACTGGGGTCTTCAACATCCTCAGGAGGGGCAGGCACTGAGCTCTGCTCTGGGGGACCAGGGAATGGCTGGAGCTGTGTCAGGTCGGATTTTAGGGAAAGGTTCTTCCCCCAGAGGGTTTTTGGGGCAGTGGGCACAGCCCCAAGGCTGCCAGAGCTCCGGGAGGGTTTGGATGATCCCTGGGGGACATTTGAGGGCTGAGCTGGACGATGTTCAGGGATCCCTTCCTGTGTGTCCCCCCAGACCGGCCGGGCGTGCAGGACACGTCGCTGGTGGAATCCCTGCAGGACAGGCTCTCGGAGATCCTGCAGACCTACATCCGCTGCCGGCACCCGCCGCCGGGGAGCCGCCTGCTCTACGCCAAGATGATCCAGAAGCTGGCGGACCTGCGGAGCCTCAACGAGGAGCACTCGCGGCAGTACCGCTGCCTGTCCTTCCAGCCCGAGCACAGCATGCAGCTCACGCCGCTCGTGCTCGAGGTCTTCGGCAACGAGATCTCCTGACTCCTCGGGGTGTCCCCCCCGCCTGGGCTGAGATCACCCACGGAGGGCGGGGTCGGGGTGGGGGGGGGGGGGGGGGGGGGGGGGGGGGGGGAAAGGTTTCTTTTCCCGAGCTGGTTCTTTGTTCCCAGCCCGGCTCTTTTCCCGAGCTTCCCCCCGGGGCAGGAGTTTCGCACCTCGGGTTTGGTTTGGTGGAAGCCTCCGCTTTGTTTGGGGCGGGTTGGCAGGGATGGACCCGAATCCATGGGGTTTCCCCACCAGGAGCAGCTTTCCCTGCTGTCTGTGGGAGAAGATTTATCCCTTTACGGATGTTTTGAGGCTGCGCTGCCTCAAATCCCTTTTTTTTTTTTTTTCTCACCTGGACAGTGGGGCTGTTGGGAAGGAGAAGCACTTTGGGGTGGTTTTGGACTTGGGGCACCGCTGACCATCGTCTGCTCCCACCCTAAACCCCGCAGCACTCGCTCCCAAAGGGAGAGGCCGATGGGATGGAACACCTTGAGTCCCAAACAGGAGGGGCCGTTTCCCCACGGGCGACCAGCTCAGACACATCCCCCAGGATGGGGAAACAACCCCCAGGATGGGGAAACAACCCCCAGGATGGGGCAACAAGCCCTGGGATGAGGGAACGACCCCTCGAGATGGGGTAACAACCTCCAGGATGGGGGAACAACCCCCCAGGATGGGGGAATGACCCTCGGGATGAGGGAAAAACCCCCAGGATGTGGAAGTGACCTCGGTCCCAGCTCGGCTTCCTCCCCCTGCCGTGTTCCGTGTCCTGCTGGAAGCAGCCCTGGAGGCAGCTTCGTGCCATTGTCCCGACACGGGACCGGTGGAGCGAACCCCGGGAAGGGGGATTTTGGGAACTCCGGGAAGAGGCGCAACAGATTCCCCCCGCCCCGGGCCGTGCACAGTGTCCGGAGAGGCTCCGGTCAATAAACTCCTGCTTGGGAAAATCAGCACAGCCCCGGGCTGGCGTGGGGGCTGCGTGTCCCATCTGTCCATCCGCCTGTCCGTCCCTGCGTGTCCATCCCAGTGTGTCCATCCGTCCCCGTGTGCCCCTGTCCCTCTGTCCCTGTCCCTGTGTCCGTATGTCCCTCTCCCCGTGTCCCTGTGTCCCTGTCTGCGTGTCCCCCATCCCTGTGTCCCCGTGGCCCTGTGTTCCTGGCCCTGTCCCCGTGGCCCTGTCCCAGTGTCCCCGTGGCCCTGTCCCTGACCCCGTCCGTATCCCCCATTGGGCCGCCAGGGGGCGCTCTCTCCACGAACCCCCCTCATTGGCCCCGCCCCCTCGCGGCGTGGGGAGTGGGTGTGGCCGTGACCAGCTGCGCCCGCGCGAGGAAGGGCGGTGGGGCCGGGAATCGGGGGCGTGGAAAGGCCGAGATGGGGCGTGGTCTTCGGGACGAGGGGGCGTGGTCGGGGGCGTGGCCATGCGAGGCCCTTTACGCGCCATCCGCCTCATGGCGACCGTGGCGGGGACCGGGATGGGGACGGGGACCGGGATCGGGGGCTCCGGAGGCTCCTCCGTGGCCGGCACCGGGACGGGGGGCTCCGTCTCCACCGCGGCCGGGCAGAAGCGGCCGCGGCCCGAGCCCGCCCCGCTCATCGGCACCCACGACGGCACCTTCCACTGCGACGAGGTGCTCGCGTGTTTCCTGCTGCGGCTCCTGCCCCGCTACCGGGTACGGCCCCGGGGCTCCGTGCGGCGGCACCGGCACCCTCCCCTCCCCGAGGTTCCCCTGTTACCTCGCTCGGGGCTCCCGCTCCCACTGGCGGCCACCGCCGGGTCTCCCGGACCCGCGTGGGGGTCCTTGGGACTTAGCCAGGGGTCCCTTGTCACCCGGGGGGGTCACCCTGAAGCTCTCGGGGTCCCCAGTCCCATCCCGATCACCCTGAAACTCCCAGCCCCTCCTTGGCGTTCCCCGATCCCCGGGGGGCAGCTCTCGGGGGTCCCCGGTGCTCCGGGGGGGGGTGGGGACCCTCACGCTCCGCGTGCCCCCCCGGCAGGACGCGGAGGTGGTGCGGACGCGGGACCCCCAGCGCCTGGCCCAGTGCGACGTGGTGGTGGACGTGGGGGGCGAGTACGACCCCGAGCGGCACCGCTACGACCACCACCAGAGGTGAGACCCCCCCCCGCCCTCCCCTCCCCTCCGGCCCCACCTGCTCCCCGGGGGTCCCTGGGGCTGACCCCGGGGTCCTGCAGGTCCTTCGCAGAGTCCATGAGGAGCCTCCGGCCAGACAAGCCCTGGAGCACGAAGCTGAGCAGCGCCGGGCTGGTCTATTGTCACTTCGGCTCCCAGATCCTGGCGGAGCTCCTGGGGCAGCCGGAGGACGGGCCCGTGGTCAGGGCGCTCTACGATAAGGTACGGGGGGCTCTGCCCACCCCCCCCAGAGCACCAGAGCTCTGCCCGGGGCTGTTTGGGGGAGAAGGTCACCCCACACACGAGATCCCGGGAAAGAGGGGGGACCAGTTTGTGGCAGCTCCTGGGGTGTGTGGTTGGGCCCTGCTGTGCCCCCCACGAGTGCTGCCCCCCTTATCCCCCCCTTCCTGCTTTCCCCCCTCAGCTCTACGAGAACTTCGTGGAGGAGATCGACGCCATCGACAACGGGATCGCGCAGGCGGAGGGGGAGCCCCGCTACGCCCTCACCACCACCCTGAGCGCCCGCGTGGGGCACCTGAACCCCCGCTGGAACGACCCCGACCAGGACACCGAGGTGGGCACGGGCAGCGCGGCCCCCTGGGGACACCCAGGATGGGCTCGGGGACACCCAGGATAGGGACACCCCCAGCTCAGGGGACCCCCCTGACTCCCCGTTGTGCCCCCAGGCGGGGTTCAGGCGGGCGATGGAGCTGGTGGGGGGCGAGTTCATGGACCGGCTCGACTTCTACCACCGGGCCTGGCTGCCGGCGCGGGCGCTGGTGGAAGAGGCTGTTCGGCGCCGCTTCGAGGTACCACCCACCCTCCTGAGGGGAAAAGGGGGGGGGGGGGTGGGTCTGAAAGTGGTGGGAGAGCTTTTGGGGCGTGGGGAGGCCAAATCGCCTCGGTGTGAACCTCCCTGCATGGCCCTGCAGCCCCCACTGTGCCCCAGACAGGGCTCTGCACCCCCACTCTGCCCACCCTTCTCCCCACCACATCCACACTCCCCTACACGTCTGGGGGGGTCTCTGAGCCCCACGGGGTGAACCCGAGCCCCAGGACCATGTGGGGGCTCTGGGGACGGTCCCCCAGAGTGCCCATGGTGTCCCCCTTCCCAGGTGGACTCGAGTGGGCAGGTGCTGGAGCTGCCCCAGGGCGGCTGCCCCTGGAAGGAGCACCTTTTCCAGCTGGAGAAGGAGCTGGCTCTGCCCAAGCCGCTCCAGCTCGTGCTGTTCCCAGACCGGGGCGGGCAGTGGCGGGTTCAGAGTGTCCCCACAGGACCCCACACCTTCCAGAGCCGGTGAGACCCCTCCCCTCGTGCTGTGCACCCCCTGTGCCCCCCCCCGCCAGGTTGTCACCCGCTGTCCCCCGTGTGCCCCCCCAGGCTCCCCCTGCCCGAGGCGTGGCGGGGGCTGCGGGACGAGGCCCTGGCCCAGCTCTCCGGCATCCCCGGCTGCGTCTTCGTCCACGCCAGCGGCTTCATCGGCGGCAACCGGAGCCGGGAGGGGGCCCTGGAGATGGCACGGCGGGCGCTGCGGCACGAGGGGGGCACGCAGAGCGGGTGACACCCCCCCACACCCACCGCCCCTCCCATGGAGGTCACCCCAAAAAACGGACCCCCCAGGCCCAGCGCGGGGGGATCCAGGGACGGCTGGGACTGTTCCTGCAACGAGATCGCTCCGAGGGAACTGTCGGGGTGGGGGGCAGCCCCCCCTGGGGTGGCAGTGTGCCCACCCCCCCCCTTCCCCCAGCGCTAGAGGGGCAGAGATTTGCTGAGGGCTCCATTTCTCTGGAGTTTGCCCCCATTTTCCCGTATAACCCCCCCAACACCCCGCTCCGAGGGGTTTCCAGCACCCAGTAAAAACCAGTGTGTGCCCAGCTTTTGGGGTCCTGGGGTAGGGTCGGGGGTGGGTGGGCAGAGCTGGGGGTTGCCGTGAGGTGGGTACAGCCACGGGAACCAGTGCCCGCCCCCGTCCCGCGTGTCAGCAGCGCTGGGGGGGGGTGGCACAGAACCCCCCCCCTCCTTCCCGTGCCACCCGCCCGTGCCACTCCTCCCCGGGGGCGATGCCGACGGTCTGGCTGCTCCTGCTGGCACTGGGGCTCCCGGGGGGCTGCCGGTGCCCTGGGGGGGCCCCCCACAACGAGACGCTGAGCGGGGCCGTGGGGGCGCGGCGGGCCCCCGACGTGGCGCTGCTGGTGGCCGTGGGGGGGTGGCTGGGGGGGCTCCTGCTCTACGTGGGCCGGTTCGTGCGGAGGAGCCGGGCGGAGACGCGGCTGCACCTGCAATACCTGCGGGCCCTGGCCCCAGGAGGCCCCCCCGGGCACCGGCAGGAGGAGGAGGAGGAGGAGAAGGAGCCGCTCAGCACCTTCCTGGGAGGCAGCACTGGGAGCAAAGCGGGCAGAGGCGAGGGGTGAAGCCCCCCCAGCGGTTGTGGTGGGTTCGTTTCCCCCCCCAAAGGGTTTTTCCCCCTCGTGCCTGAGCAGCCCCACGGAGGGGCTGGGTGTGGGTGGGGGCTCCCTGTCCCACCTTGGGATTTGGAGGAGCATTTTGGGGTTCCTGGAAGGGGGGGGTGTTGGGGGTGAGCAGGGACCCTGCACTCTCCCCGTTATCCCTCTTATTGCAGTGTAATCCCGGGGATTAACCATATGTAATCCTGGGATTTACCCACGCTGCCTCCTCTCCCATTAATCCTTTCTCTGGGCAGGGGGGGGGGTCCATCTGCTCCCCCCCCCCCCCATCTTTTGGTGCTGGGGTGGGGGGACTCACGTGGATTGGCACGAGCACCCCAGGGCCCCTCCAGCCCTGCTCACAACCCCACTGGGCTCAGGTTTGGGGTTTTATGGAACCCACAGGGGTTTCAGTTCATTTTGGAGGGCTCTGCCCACCCACAGGGTGAGGCCTGAGGGGCTGAGTGTGCAGCCAAGGAGCCCTGAGCCCCCCCCTGCCCTCACCTTTCCCCAAAATGCAGCTCTTTAACCCCAAAACAGCAGCTCTGGCCCCGTGGGCTCAGCCCAACGGGCTTCAGCACAGGCAAGTTCTGCAAGTTGACCCTGAGCTCTCTCTTGACCCCAAAAAAGCAGCTCTGGAGCAACCCCCAGACCCATGGAACTTCCAGAACTCACCCCGTGAACAACTTCCAGCCCCCCCAGGGCGAGGAAAGAGGAGGAGAGGGGGGGAAAGAGCCGCCTTTATTGGATGCAGACTCTGGGAGACCCCCTGTGCCCCCCCCAGGGCTTGAAGGCACCCAGGAGGAAGATGAGGCTGCCCAGGGAGGAAGAGGAGCCACCAAAGCCCTCTGGGCTGTGGTCACAGCTCCGAGAAGAGGGGCTGCTCCCTCACACTGGCCACGACGGGGACGGGGCTGCGGTGGGGGCTGGCGAGGGGCACGCGGGCGCTGACGAAGAAGAAGGGGATGTGGCTGATCTTCCCCGAGGACCAGCACTGGAAGGGAAGGGAAGAGCACACGGATGGAGGGGATGAGGGTCCAAGATCCCTGACACCCTCCCACCCTGCCTCAGCCCACGCAGCACCACGGTGGGGGGGGGATAACGACTCACCACGGTCAGGAGGGCTCCTCGTGGGAAGCAGGGGTGGAAGGCGATGATCTGGGGCCGGGCACCGTGCTCACCCCGCACGAACCCGCTGTGGGGGGGACAGGAGGAGCCACAGTTAATGGCACAGCCACAAAAACACCACCACCACGCTGCCAGGGGCCAGTGGAGACATTCAGGACCGGATCAGGTGCACTGGGCAAGGACAACCCGAAGCCAAGGGGTTTGAGGTGGGTAAGGGACAACACGCGACGGATTTGGAGGTGAAGCGGCGACAGGCCCCGAAGCAGCGCGGGATGGGGTCTCCCCACGGTGATAGGGGGGGCAGCTCTTCCCCACCACACCCCCCTGGGGGTGGTTAATGGTGCTCAGTGAACCCAAACCCACCCCAAACCTGCTGCCAGGAACCCACCCAAGACTCACCAGGGCAGGAGCTCGAACACGGGGCTGTTGCGGGTGCGGAACACGGCGATGTTCTCCGTCTGGCTGCCTGCAGAGTCGGGGTGCCCTGCAGGAGGGAGAGGGGCAGGGAGGCTTTCCCTGCTCCAGGGACACGTGGACAGGCCCCTCGGTGCCCCCCCTTTTCCTTCCTGGAAGTGGGATTTTCAGGAGGGACTCACCTCTGATGATCACTGCGAGCCTCTCTCCCGTGGGGTCCCACACCATGGAATGGACCTCTCCTCCAATCCTGGAAGCAGCAGGGAAGCCCCCAGGATCAGGGGGGCACAGATACCTTCAGCCCCTTGGGGTGTCCCCAGCATCCAAGGGGAGCAGGGTCCCCCTGTGCCCCTCCAGGTGCCACGCTGGACCCACCTCTTGTCCCCGTAGATCGTCTCGAAGGTGGTCTCGGACAGGTCTGCCACGATGGAGGCTGTTTTGGAGCCCCCCACCTGCCCCTGCATCTCCCCTGAAGGGAACACTCCGTAAATCCCACTGAATTCCCCGGATTTCCCATCATTTATCCATTTCTCAGAACAACGTGCCCATGTCTGGGATGGAGGACAGGGGACAGCAACCCCCCAGGACCCACCCCCCTGCAAAAACCCACACGACTGAGAGGCAACGGGAGGGGGGATAAACCCACAACCCCGGGGATTCCGTGCTCTGGGAGACCCCCAAAACACCCCCCTGCACGTCCCAGCTCCCTCAGCCAGAAGTGAGGGATCACCTGGGCCCCACCCCAGCCCTTGGGAAGCTCCAGCCCGGGCGGACTCACCCCGGTACTCGGAGAAGGACAAGGAGTAGATGACGGATTCCCCCAGCACCGTGAAGAGCAGCCGGCTGCCATCTGGGCTCCAGCACCCCGTCTGTGGCACAGGAAAAGTTGGCAGGGAGACTCCAGTGGGTCCAGGCACAGCTCAGGGCTTTGTGGATGGCCCCTCCCCTGGCCAGTGATCTTTTGGAGCCAGCTGGGAATGGGGGATTTTTTTGGGTAAAACCCACTCCCAGCGTGTCCCCGAGGGCCTTTGGAGGTGATGTGTGCACCCCAAATCCTGGGGTCAGTTTGGGGCTACGAGACAGACACTGAGGGGCTGGGGTGTGTCCAGAGGTGGGAATGGAGCTGGGGAAGGGGCTGGAGAACTTGGGAGGAGCAGCTGGGGGGGCTGAGCCTGGAGAGAAGGGGGCTCAGGGAGGACTTTCTCACTCTCCACAACTCCGTGGAGCCAGGGAGAGGTCGGGCTCTGCTCCCAGGGAACAAGGGATGGGACAAGAGGAAACAGCCTCAAGATGCACCAGGGGAGGTTCAGGTTGGATAGGGGGAAAATTTCCAGGGCTACCACAGCTGCTCAGGGCAGGGTGGGAGTCCCCCAACCCTGGAGAGATTTACAAGCCCCGTGGATGTGGCACTTGGGGACGTGAGACTCAGTGGTCTCAGAGGGCTTTTCCAGCCTAAAAATCCCACCTGGCAGCGTCCTCTGATAGTGGGCCACCGCTCACACGTCCACATCTGAGCCTCCCACACCCTGCAGGAGACAGAGCAGGGCACTTGGGATCCAGATCTGCTCGGTTTTGGGGCAGATAGGAGAGCGAGGGCTGCGAGGGGAGCCGGGCAGGGACGGAGCTCACCGGAACACGGCCGAGGGGGTGGCTGCCAGCACCTTGCTGCCATCGGGTGACCACGCCAAGAAGGTGACACCGCCGCCCCCAAACCACTGCAGCTGGACACAGTTCTCGGTGGGCACGTCCCACACCTGGAGGAGGGGACGGGGAAGGCAAATGGTGACGCTGGCTGAGCGTTGGGGGGGGAAGTTGTTCAGGTTAAGGCGACACAGAGTGATGGTCTGGGGTCCAGTTCAAATTCAGAGCTGCCTGACCCACCCTCTGTGGGAACAGCACCTGTGCCCAGCCCAGCTGTCCCTGGGTGACCCTCTGGGGGTGCCCGTGGTCCCCACATCCCCCCAGCAGGCACAGCCAGCTCAGGGCTCCTCACCAGCATGGCCGTGTCGACCGGTGACGCCGAGAGCAGCCGCTCCCCGCTGGGTGCCCAGGCCAGGCTGGTGACAGGGCTGTGCCCCGGGTAGGACAGCACCTGGGCACAGCCTGATGACGGCCTGGAAGGGAGAGAGAAAACCCCCAGGAAGGGTTGGGACAGGCTGGCAGGACGGGCACCCGCCTGGCTTTATCCCAAAGCCAACCCCAAAGGGGGGTCCTGACGGCAGGGCAGGGGGTTGTCACCTGGTGGAGAGGGAGGTGGGGTCCAGGTGCCACACCAGGACACAGCTCTGGCAGGCCACGGCCAGGATGGAGGCACAGAGAGGCTTCCAGGCCATGGAGGCCACGTTCCTCTGCAGGCGATGCTTCAGCGAGGGGACGGTGGCACTGCCGGGGAAGGGGACACATGTGACAAGGGCAAAACGGGGCACCAAGAGCGTGGGCCGTGTCCCAGGGTCCTCTGCCAGCTCTGAGCACAGTGCAGGGGGAAAGCAGAGTGGGAAGGGGGGGGTTGTGCCCTGCAGTGCCCTGCTTCCCAGGGTGGGGAGTGAGTGGAGAGGGACAAGAATTCCCAGCCAGGTGACAGCAGGGGACAGGAATTCCCAGCCAGGTGACACCGGAGTGAGCCAGAGCACACCTGGTGCAATTGGCCTGAGCTGCCCCCAGCCCAGCCCCGGGGCAGGAGAGGGCCCTGGCTGGCCAGAAATCCCAGCTGGGAGAGGGGGCTGGAGCGGGGCAGCGCGGAGGGGGCCGCAGGACCAGCCGGCACAGTCTTCTCCTGAGGAGGGATTGGCATTCCCTGGGGGAGCAGGGAGACCTGGGGGAGAGAGGAGACTCAACGACGCTCCACACACTGCGCTCTGCCTGTGCCCCCTCGGGCTGTGGGACCACCTCCACCACCTCCTTGGGCTGTGGGACCCCCAGGATGCCCCCAGAGTTACGGAGCAGGCAGGGAAAGGAAAGCCAAGGCTTCAGTGGGGATGGTGGCTCCAGGAAGAGAGGTGGGAAAGGAGCAGGGAGGGGGCTGAAAACGCGAGCCCAGGTGGGCAGGAAGGCCAAGGGCACTCGGCTTGTGGCAGCAGGACCAGGGCACCCCCAATCCCGGGCGGCAGCGGCAGCTCCAGCCCCACCTGCTGGAGTTGTAGACCCGGATGGAATCGTCCAGGAGCGCCACAGCAAACTTGTTGGTGTGGGGGTGCCAGGCAAAGGCCCTCACGGGGCACCCGGCCCTGCAGGGAGGAACAGGGCAGGGTCAGGCAACCAGCACCCACCCCCAGGGCTGGCAAAGGCCCTTCCCAGAGTCCCCAGTGAATTAAAAACTCCCTTTTCACTCCTGGATGGGATGGTTTTCTTTGAGAAACACACACCCCCCCTGCCCCGTTCCTGGCAATTGTTCCCAGGGCTCTGCTGAGGGGCTGGTTCCCACGGTCTAGGGTGGATTGGGGAGGAATTTTGCAGTCTCTGATCTCATGTAACCCCGATTTCAGCACATCAGGGGCTTTGCCTCTCTCTGATCACCAGACACAAACCAGGGCAGTCAGAGCCAACAGGGAAATATTTGCCCTTAACGTGCCCACCCAAACAAAGGCCATTCTGTCCTTGTACCCCACCCCTCTCCCAGCTCCAGGGAGGTCACAGACCCCAGGGAAGGTGGTTTTGGGACACACAGGACTCACCAGTCCACGGCCTGGGAGAAGGCTGCAATCATGTCCTCACTGGTCAGCTGCAGGGGAGAGCAGAACACTGAGCTGGCAGCGAGGACCCCCAGTGCCCACCCCCCTCTTTTCTCTTCCCCCACCTGGATTTTGGCCCCTCTTGGAGCGCTCTGGGCCCCGGCAAGGCCTTAGGGCAGCATTCCCCTCCCTTGGGTGGAGGAAGGAGCAGCATTTGGAGCCGGGCATTGCCGGGAGGAGCATTTAGGTGGGTTTCCAGCAGGGAAGGGACCACCCACCACCCTGCCCAGCCTCCCCCAGCCCCAGGGACGAGGCCTGGAAGGACTCACGGAGAGGTGTGGGAACAGGGATCCGTGGAGCGAGGAGAGCCAGCGGCACACGGCCAGCGCGTGGCTCGAGCCCGTCCTCAGCCATCGCAGCCCTGGAGGGGGCAAATCACCCTCAGCTGCCCCCACCCGCACCACGGGGGGCACGGGGAGGGGCAGCACGATGGATCCCAGAGCCAGAGATCCCCGGGGAAGATCTCCAGGAGCAGCCACGGCTCACTCACCCTCCTCCTCGGCGCTGGCCACCTCCCTGAGCACCCCGCAGAGCCCCGCGTCGCGCCTGCGGCCACAGGGCGGGATCAGCCCCTTCAGCACCCCCTGCCCGCCTCAGAGGGGCACGGCTGGCACTTTGGGGGGCACTTTTGGTGGGGGGAAGCAGGCACGGACTCACCAGGCGCTGAGGCAGCGCTTCCAGGGGGACTCGCGGTGGTGGATGAAGGGCGGGCGGGCGCTGGGCTCCTGCCGCCCGTGGGCCTTGAGGGGCTCCTTGGGCAGGCTCAGCACGGGCAGGTCGGGCACCTGTGGGGCCCCCACAGCACCCCTGAGCCCACAGTACCCCTGAGACCCATCAGGGAACACCCCTGAGACCACCAGGGACATCCTGGGGGGCCAAGGAGACACCTCCCAGCACAATGGGCCAGAGGTCCAGCCACAGCTGAGGGGGACAAATGTGTCACCCCCTCCCAAAGGCTGGAGGGGGGCTGGCACAGCTCTGGGAGGCAGGGGGGGGTCAGCTGGCTCTGGGGGGTCTCAGCTGGCTCTGGGAAGGAGTAGGAGGGAACTCTGGGGGTCTCACCTGGCTCTGGGGAGGAGGAGGGGGGCACTCTGGGGGTCTCACCTGGCTCTGGAAGGACAGCGGGAGCTGCTCACTGAGGCGGCCGCAGACCAGGGCGTTGTTGAGCTCGTACAGGGTGACATCCCCGGGCGGGGGCGGCGGCGGGAACAGCCCCAGGGTGCACATGGTGGGCCTGGGAGATGGAGTAGGAGGTTAGAAGAGGGGTGTGTGAGAGCTGCAGCCTCTGGAACGCACCGGCCCCAGCCCCGCAGCCCCTCACCCACCCACCCACCCACAGGCACGGCGCTCCCCGCTCACAGCCCCCAGTGTCCCCCGTGTCCCCCTCACCGCCCCCGGTGCCCCCCCGCGCTCCTTCTCACCCTCTCCCCCTCACAGCCCCCGGCGCGCCCCGTGGTCCCCCTCTCCCCCTCACAGCCCCCCGTACCCCTCAGGTTCCCTCACAGCCCCCCGGACCCCTCAGGCTCCCTCACAGCCCCCCGGACCCCTCAGGCTCCCTCACCGCCCCCCGGGCCCGCCATGTTTGTTCCCCCTCACCCTTTTCCCGTTCCCGATTCCCGCCCTCGGGGCCAAGGGGGGGGTGTGTGGGAGGAATTAAAGGGGCAGCGGCTCCGGGATGGAAAAGCGCACAAGGGGTACGGCGGGGTGGGCGCCCCCATCCCCGATTCAGCTGCTCGTTGGCGGCGAGATTCGTGGTATCCCCTGCAGAGACACCCCCACCCCACCCTCCTCCGCTGAATTAGGGGCTTTCCGGCCGTAGCGTGGGCTGATAAAATGGAGGTCCACCTTTCCAGTCGTTGCCCCTTTAAGGAAGGCGGAGCCCCCTCTCCCGGGGCGGGGCAGCGGCGCGCGCGGCCCGAGGGTCACGTGGGGCCCGAGCGGGGCTTGGGGGGGGCACCGGGATCGGGATCGGGATCGGCACCCTTGGGTGACCCCCCGGTCCTGAACTCCCCTGTCCTTCGGGGGTCTCCGTGTCCTGCACACACACACACACACACCCCGGGGTACCTCCCGGTCCTGAACCCTCTTGTCTTTCGGGGTCACCGTGTCCTGCACACACACCCCCCCCGGGACCCCCGGGGTAACCCCCGGTCCTGAACCCCCCCTGTCCTTCGGGGGTCTCTATGTCCTGCACCCCAC